AGCAAGCTCCTCTCTCCAAAGTGAGATGTCTGTCTTGTCTTCCCATCTTGTGGGCACATCCAGATCTGGGGTTCTTTTGAAGCATTTGGCTTCAGAAGGAAGGAGGGATTGCTCTCACCTTGGACAGTCCAGTGTTTCTCTAATGACCTTGGCTCTATAAGCTGCCTGGTCAGGAGACTATTGGTCACACTACTGACCCTCTTAACTGATCCTTCTGATATGGGATGCTAGCACCTTGTGTCCTATTAGCATCCTGTTTCACATTGTTCAGTGCATGTCTTTGCATGGAGACTTTGAGAGTCCAGTTGGCCCTCAGCACCCATGGAGAATTGATTGCATCCCCTACCGGCCCCCTGCAGACACCACCATCCATGGATGCTCAAGTCGTTTATATAAAATGGCATGGTACCTGCATATCACCTATGAACATTCTTACACATACATCTCTGGATCACTTACAGACCTGACACAATGTAAATGCTATGTGGATACTTGCTGTACTGTATTGTTTTGGAATAATGAAAATAAAGAAGTCTATATATGTGCAATGCAGATGCAATTGTTCAACAGTTTCCCATCTTCAGTTGGTTGGAGCCACCAATGTGGAAGCTGTGGATGTCCAAAGAGTAAATTCTCAGTAAATGTATCCAAACTAGTCTCCAGAGAGGTGGAACCAACTTCTTCCAGCAACAGTCCCAAACCCTATCCGTCTCCCTACATGCTCACAAGTGCCAGTGAGACATGCTTCAGCCTTAACCACGGCCCAGCTTCAACCAAAAGGACAAACTGACTTGGTAAAAGGCCACATGAATGCACCACTGGAGACACTTAAAAGCTGTGGACACCAAGCTGGTCTGTGTGTGCATTGAAAGGAGAGGAAAGAAAAGGGAAGCGAAGAGAAAGGGTAAGAGAAAGTGTTCCCGCTACGTTTGTGGACTATTGTACTTTATTTTTGGTTGCTGACCATGGTGAAACTGGGACCTCCTAATGTCATCTCTGTTGGCGTCACCTAGCTTCTGAGATGGTGTTGACACACAGCAAGCCCAAAGCGGTCTCCATACAACCTTCTTGCCCACCCTGAGAAAGCCATCTTTTGAACAAAATATGTGTCCAGAGTTAATGGACATGAAATTTGTGACAGCCTCCCGGACTCTGGCTGCTCATCCATGGGATCATGCACTGGTATCAGAGGAGAGTGTCCCAATTCCCCAGAGTCCCTCCACACCAGACCAGCCTCAGCAATGCCTGAGGGAAACTTGGGTCTCTCTACGTGCCTGTATTTTCTCTCTACTTTAGTTTTCTTTTAAACTCAAAAAATTTATATATAAATATATAAATCTTTTCTGTTTGTTTGTTTTTGTTTTTGGTACTGGGGATCAAACTCAGGACCTTGTGCTTGCAAGGCAGGTGCAGTGCCACTGAGCCAAATCCCCCTATTTATCTCTTGGTTAAAAACACGCTTAGTATGCAGAATTAATATTACATATAAGTCCCTGGCTGTATTAAGAAGTTACAGCCCCCATACCATTAGGATTACTACAACCTAAAGAAAGAAACGCAAAGAAAGGAAGGCAGAAGGGAGGGAGCAAGGAAAACTAGAAAGCTTGAAGAAGATAACTTGAAGAAAAGAGATAGCTTGAAGAGAGATCAACTGTAAATGCTGCTGCTATTGTTGAAACAGAATTGCAATTCTTCAAAAAAAAAAAAACAGCCAGAATAACCGTGATTCAGCAACTTCCTTGCTGGAGATGTAAAACACCTGAAAGGAAGGTTTGGAAGGGACACTGTATACTCGTGTTCACAGCAGCTGAAAGACAGAGGAAACCCAACCTCCGTCAATAAATGAATGGAAAAAGGAAATGCAGCATATACACAGTGGAATACCATGTAGCCTTAAAAAGGAAATTTTGACACATGCTGTAACAGGGATTGACCATGAGGATGTTATGTGAAATAAACCAGTCACACAAAAATAGTTTATATCAGGTGTGTAGAGAAGTTAAACTCAAACAGAAAGTAGAGTGGTGGTTGCCGGAGACTGAAGGGACGGAGAAATGGGGAGATGTTTAATAGGTACAGTCTCAATTGTGCAAAACAAAAATGTTCTGGAGATTATTAATGCTAAATACTTACACTGCTGTACAATTAAACAATACACTTAAAATGTTTAAATTGTAAGTTTTATGTTGTATATTTTACAATTTTTAAAAAAGAAGTTATACTTTAAATGAAACAAGACCAGTTATACAACTACCATCTTACATCTATAACAGAAGATGAGCAAGGCAGAAAGACGAATTACCAAGGTCTTTTTTTTTTTTTTGGTACCGGGGATCAAACTTGCTCTTGTGAGGCAGGTGCCGGAACCACTGAGCTAAATCCCTGCCCCCAAGGTATTAATACACCGGGCAACTACTCAGAGCTCTTTTCCTTGAATAAACATCGGTCTGAGGTTAAGTGAGGAAAAGACATTAGAAACACAATGAGTTTCTACACATAAGAATAGGATTTAGGAATCCCTGGGTTTGTCTGTAAACATTTTCCTCCTTAGAAAGATTACTGCTGACAAACACTTGTGTTATGTAATACTTCACTGCTGTGCAAAGGTCTGGGCTAACTTCATTCAGGGAACAGAAGTTCTCTGGTTGTTACTGTTTCCTGGTGTTTGACTTTTGATGCTCTCACTTTATTTCCCCAGGATTATTTGTTTTCTTAGTGTTTTGGTGGGTTTTTTTTTTTTAGAGGTTCTTAGTCACTGCTGCCTGAAAATTCAGGTAAAATCTGTCTTTCGAGTTTCTTTTGGCATTTATCTTAGAGATACATCTATTTATCTGAGAGACCTTTTCTGAGGGGCTTCGAGTGGCTAATCTGGTAGGCTCCCTGCTAGTCGGGTCCCTGTTGGCTTGCTAGCAGGCCACAGTTACCCATCTGCTCCTGCCCCTAGAGACGAGCTGCAGGAAGCGCACTGTCCTGAATTTCCCGTTACTGCGAAGTCTGCAGTCCGAGGCCACACGCGACTGTCTCAGAAACAGTTGCGATTGTTAGAGATAATATTGTATTTCTCGTCTTGGCCCCATTTGCACTTCTTATCTGGATGAACACCAAACAGCTGGACTTGGAGACCATTCTGCAGTTTTGTTCTTAGATACTTCTATCTCATCGCATCTTCCGGAAAGAGTCTCCTTGTTGGGAAAACGGACGCCACAAAATGCTTCCAATACCTTCTGCAAATAAAAGTACTCACATCAGTGTGGAGAACACTTTGAAATAAGATGGAATTGTATCACCCTAAGTGTGCTGTAACCCTAAAGTGTGCTGTGACTTTAAGAGTGCTGTAACCTAAGTATGACATAATGATGTGTAACCATAAGATATGAAAGTAGAACCTTAAGCGGTATGGAACTGATAAGGGTGTGCCCTGAACTGGACAGGGCGTACACTGAACTGGACAGGGTGTACCCCAAAATGGACAGTGTGATAAGTCTGAACCAATACCACGAACGCCCAGTTAGAATAGTATAAAAGGAGCTGAAGACCCTAAGCAAGTCGTCGATCTGTCCACCGACCAGTCGACCAGTCGATCTGCTGATCTGACTACCGACCGAGACATCTGCACACCTGACCCCGCTGGAAGGAGCACCGCCGCCGACCAGACGAGATCAGAGGAGGAGGCAAGCGGAGAGGCGGATAGCCTAGCGGCGACGCCCTTCGTCTACGGATCGGACCCTCTGACCCTGAAGGAAGAAACGTCGCGCTCCCATAAGGACTTGCGCAGTACAGGTACGTGGTAATTGGCAGACTTAATATTGTGTGGTAATTGTATTGAAATGAATTAGGATAATATAAGTGTGTGAACTGCCATCCGAGTCCGAGTCCTCTTTACCCACGGTACCTGCCCGCGACAATCAGAAACTTTGGGTGGCTTTTTAGTCTCCTTTTCGTGGCCGGGTTGTTGCATCCTGTGATCCCAGCACTTGGGAGTTAAGGCAGGAAGGAGGACCACGAGTTCGAGCCCAGCCTGGGCTACATAGCGAGGCCTTGTCTTGGAAAATAAAACCAAACCAAAAATATCTAGTTTCTGGTACTGTCTCACCGCTGCCTGGTAAAAGCACTGCGTAGACTCCGGGCGCTCAGGCAGGACCTGCGAAGCCACCCTGCGGGAAAGCAAACGGAAAGGCGGACTCTCACCCTGCAGTCGGTGCTGCGGGGCGGGCGAGGCCTCCTCCCGCTGTGCGCACGACCCGGTGAGCTCCACCCGGCCCCTGCAGTCCAGCCCCGACCCTCACTCTGCGGAAGGCGAGGTGGCCAGAGTGGAGACGCCGCTTCCCCTAGATGTCCGTCCGGCCCGAAGCCTGCCGAGGGACCGAGCGCCGGGACAGCGTGCGCGGGGAGGTGAGGAGCCGCGGGGCGGCGCTGGGCAGGCTCCCGGAGCACGCGGGCGAGGCTAGCGAGCTCTGCGAACCGCGGGCCTCTGCGCAGCTACGCCCCGTAAAACTCGGGACGCCCAGTGGGTGTGACGCCACCGCAACCACCGCGAGGGGGTCCGCGGAGCCTGCGACCCCGCCAGAGCAGCTCAGAGCCCCAGGGCCCCGAAGGTGAGAAGGGGTGGGCGCGCAGGGGAGGCGGGGCCGGCAGAGGACGCGGGGAGAGAGCAGAGGGGACTTCGGGCCGAGGTGGGCGGGAATGCAGGAGGGGCGGGGCTCGGGGCGGTGAGGGTAGGGGCGTGCCGGTGGGCGGGACTCGGCGCGGTGGGCGGGCCGTGTCCGTGGGCGGGGCGAGCGCGGAGCCTAGGGGGGCCGGGGCGTGTCCGTGGGCGGGGCTCGGCGCAGTGGGCTGGCCGGGGGCGTGCCAGTAGGCGGGGATCGGCGCGATGGCGCGTAGGGCGTTTACGTAGGCGGGGCTCAGCGCGGTGGGCGTGCCCGGGGCGTGTCCTGGGCGGGGCATGTCCGCGGGCGGTGCTGGGGGAGCTTCTCTGCGCCCGCGCGCCCGCCGCCCGCCGCCCGCCGCCCGCCTCCCGCCTCCCAGCCGCGCCGCCGTGATGGCGGAGGACAGCGAGTCTGCAGCCAGCCAGCAGAGCCTGGAGCTGGACGACCAGGACACGTGCGGGATAGACGGGGACAATGAGGAGGAGACGGAGCACACCGCGGGGTAGGCGGCGGCGCGGGCGGTGGGCGGGACGGCACGCGCGGGGTCGCTCAGCCGCTCGGCCCCTGCTGCCTCCCCGCGGCCCCGGCGCCGTGAGGCCCGGCTCCGCCGCCCGAGGGAGGGGCCGGTGGGCGGGGCGCGGGTGCTGTCACGGCCGGCCTCGCCCCTCCCGCGCGGCCCGGCCCTGTTCCTCGGGCCCTCGCCACCCCGGAGCTCACGGAGTTCGCCGCGTGGGACCCCGGCGTCGACACCGGGGCGACCCCGCGACCTGGCGCGGCCGCAGTGCCGAGGACTCTGACGCCCGGCTCGGTTTCCCAGTCCTGGCGCTGGCCCTCTTCCTGCCCCGGAAGGCTTCGCTTGCCTTTCTGTTGGAGAAAAAGATTGCTTCTGGTTAAGGCTGCTGTTGAAGTTCTCTTTTAGGGGCAGTGTGGGAATCGTTTAAAAGAAAGACCGGTGTCCTTTCAGAGGTGTTGCTTCACATCGCCCTTTTACCCTGTTGGATTCAAACTACGTGCTGGCAGAGAGCAGTTATTGCTGCCCCCCAGAAGTGAGAATTTTGCGAACCCTGGTGACTGTGTAGAAGTGGGTCAGCCTAACAACAGGAGCTGAAGCCTGAGTCACAGATGGCTTATTTATTCAGTTCGTGAGGAGACTCTTCCAGCGATCGCTGATTGAGAATGTAGAGTGATGGTATTGTATTTTAGGTCACTTTAAGATTTATTTAAGTAAGGAATCTTTATTGACCTTTCTTTCATTATAAAATAGTGAGTGACAGACTAAGAGAAAAAGCTGACTACACGTCTCTCCCATTGAAAAGTTGCTTAAAAAAAAGATTTCCAGTGAACATTTCAATGGCAGCTGCAAGAAGTGAATGTTATTCAAGTCTATAATTTTTTTTAAGAGGAAGGGAAATTGTACAGAAATCTGAGCCGGAGTTATCTTTATGCAGTGATAGAAATTGTCTGTAGTAGCTAAATATATGTTTTTGAAACAAAACTCTTGCCAAAAATGGGCCTACAGTAGATGCAAGTTGATGGATTTCTGAAGTAAGTTCACCACCTGTCATCTTTCTGGGGAGACGTAGACTTCCCTCTTCCCCCTTTTAATTTCTGCTTATTGCTCTTTGATGTTCGAGGTTGGGGTTTGATTAGGGCTTCTTTGCTTACAGAGCACACAATGTCTAGGGTACAAAGAATTGCTCATTTGTGTGTCCATCAATCTGAGATTGTTCCCTGACACTTTGCTGTAGGCTGTGTGAAGTTTCCAGAGGCATCTCAGAGCACTTTTCAGAGGTTTCCAGTTTTGTACATCAGCACATTAATTATGTTTTAGCACAGTTAATCAAAACTTAGAGATGCCCGATGGACACAAGTATTTTTAACCAAAAGCAGGTAATGTGATAACAGTTTCTACTGGGAAAAGATTAATATAATGGATTTATTGTAGTCTTTTAAAATGTAAGGAGATTAGTAAGACTCCAAGTTGCTGCTCTTGTTGGGCTGCTTTTTTGGTTTTGACTTTAGACAGTGCCTGATTTGGGGCAGTGATTGTGTTTGCTTTGGCTCCTATACCAGTGCTGCTGTTCAGTAGAAGCCTAGGCTTTCTTATGTAGCTTACGTTTGTAAATGTTAAAATTTGGAAGATTCCTCTTTTGTCTACTTGGCCTCTTCATTCTCTGCTGGTTTATATAAGCAACAAATAATGACCATTTGGAGGAATGAGTAGGTAAACCCTTCAACTTTAATAAGAAGACAGTCACTTTGAGGCCATTAGGCAGTGGGCAGTGCACAGAGCCATAGTTTACTCACTAGTACCCTTGTGGCCTAAAAGAATTAATTTACCCCTACCATTCAGTGTAATGTATTTACTGGTTGTTTAATATATGGTATTGAACTATATGGCCTCAAAAAGAAGAAAAATAAGATTCTTATTCTGAATATTGCTGTGTATTCTCTTATTTTCATTGAATTTTCTTTATGGACTTAAAAGGCATTTCATTTTATGGATAATACTGAAGTCCATGAATGAAATATATATGAGGTGCTTTGTGTTTAATAAAAAGCAATAGCATAAGTATCATAAAATACTTCAATCCTATTATCTTTCTATCTTAACTTTCATGGATAGTGTGATCTTTAACTCTTTGGTCTATCCAAGTATGGCAGTGACATACTACTGTAAAAATGTCATGAATTCCCAAAAAATGGAGAGGAGGAGAGGTTATCAGCTTCAAACTAGCAAGACTATACAGTGTAGCTTCATTATTTTGAAACAGTGTGTAGCAGATTAGAATTAGGCTAATAGAGATCCTTTTGATAACTTGCTTTAACCCATGATTTACATTTAGGATAAAGTAGGTAAATCTTAATAAAGAGTTTGAGAGAGACTAAAAACTTTCAAGCAAATTGAAACTTCTAAGGTAATCTTGCTTATACTGTTATTTCTATACAGAGACTTTCTGCATAGATAAAAAATGAGCTTCAGGGCCGGGGATTTAGCTCAGTGGTTTCGCTGCCTGCTGTGCAAGTGCAAGGACCCAAGTTCGATCCCCATTACCAAAAAAAAAAAGAAGAAGAAGAAAATGAGCTTCAGTGCAACTTCCCATAGGAAATATTAAAGTCTGAAGGACTAAAGATTTCTGTTCTGCTGTGGGTAGCAGTGGTTACATATAGGAGGAGTTTACTAGGAACTTTCACAATTGGGTTTGCGGTTAGGTAATATAGTACTCAAGAATCTTTATTATTTAATACTCCTCTGATTTTTTTTATGTGTTCGTGCCATCTGTTACTTTCTTCTGAAGGCATTTGGAAAATTGTTGAGGACAGGGAAGATTGTTGAAGAATTGCCTAAAATTCATGATCTTCTTGCCCTGTAGCTATCTTTTCCATTTGTGCAGTACATCTGGTAGGGGTCATTATCTCCAACCCACATTAAATATATTGTCCAGTTTTGGAAACAGTCGCACAATTGATTTCAAGTAAAATTGGTGTTTAAGTTGTGACAAAACCAATTCTGTCTTTGGCTTGCCAGTGCTGACTTTCAGAACACATATACCCTATAAAAATTGATGTTTTTTTCCCCTTTTCCACTCAGAGCTTCTCCCTCAGTATTCACTCTGGAGAAATAGCTACTAAGAATACTTATGGAGGGAATAAAATGAACCTATATGAAGATAGCTCTGTTGGCAGATAAGTGACTAATTTAAATCCCTGGGGTAGATATGATACAGTTTTTGTACTTAAGGTTTAAGGCATTTTAAATAATTTTTTTCTTAGAAATATAGAAGATCTGGGGGGAAAAAAGAAAAAAAAAGATCTGGATTTGACTAAGTAGAAAACTCTGAAATTCATTTAACAAAGAATATAACCTCTCTTTGGAATTCTTTTAACATAGACCATAACTAATTTAGGGAGAATAATTGAAGTTGCTCTCTGTAGAGTGTATTTTAGTGTATTTAACTTTATTGTTGAGCTTAACTGGGGAATGTCTCCTTAGCTGTATGGAGTCAGGGGGAAAATACAAAAACTCACTCTAACTCTCAGTAGATCTTTCTCACCATGAGATCTTTGAGCTAACTCAAAGTTACCCTTTCTGAAATTTGATCTATTATCAACTGCATAAATCTAAATGGAAATATATATTATCAGCCCTTGCCCAAGGGACTTCCTTAGTTCATCAAATACAGTTTTAAATGATTAAGTATCAGTTGAGACTTGCATCTGAGAAAATAATTTTACCCTCTGGCCCAGAGCACTTTTTCCAGAGGTTGACTAAAATACAGAAAATTTCAAAGTATAGAATATGTGCTTAACCATCTCTGTTAATTAGTACCACTATATACTCTAATTCTATGTAAATCACTTTTAACAGTCAAATTCTGTTTCAGATTCAAAAAGAAGATTGGCTTGTTTGTTATTCCATTTTAAAATACATTAAATCACTTTTACTGAGTAAAATATGCTTATTGGAAATTCAAACAGTAAAGTATAAAGAGAAACTCCCTGTCTTCCTGATTTCTAGAAATTCCAGTTAAATTAATAGCTAAAGTCACATTTTGCAGTATTATGTGTTGTTAACATAAATAAGATTATACAGAACTTTATATGGGTTCATTTGTTGTCTGGAAGAATTTTCTGGGATAATATAAATGTCCAGTTTGATAGTCATTGGCCATATGGGGTTATTAAACATTTGAAATGCGGCTAGGGGAATGAAGGAGCTGAATTTTTTTTTTTTTGACAGGATCTCCCTAATGTAGCTCAGGCTGGCCTGGAACTCGAGATCTTCCTACATCAGCTTCCCAGATTCTGGTAGTACAAGCATGTGCTCTGAATTCTGTATTTTATTTTAATTAAATTTAGATGGCCCTTTGTGATTAGACAGCTCATATCACATCCTGCTTTTGAATTTTGTAAGTTTTCATAGTGCTCAAAATACTTCTGTATTGTCTTATGTTTTGCAGAATGTGTCAGATTTTCATTCTTCCTTTTTGTTTCTTCAGGGGCTTATCTTTAAATTTTGAACAAGCATGTTTTTAATCCATATTTCTCTATTGATGTTAAAAATTAACCATTATCTAAAAATTCTGTTTCACGTGACAAAAATATGTAGGCTTTGACTTGTCTTTCTTTCATTTCTTAGCTTTTGTTGCTAACTCGGAATTTTAGTTCTGTGTGACTTCTTTAAGTTTTGCCCTTGTGTCCCTAAAAATAATTTTCGTTACCGTTACATTATATTTCACATCCATGTTACGAAAACCTTTTCAGGCTTTCTTAACAGCCTTACTGTTTTTATTGCTTACCCCTATTCTTTGTAAGGCACATCCTGTCCTTTGCTTACACTTTCTCCTGTACATTTTTTTCTTAAAGTATGTGTGCCACAGGAAGCTAGGGCATGGTTTGAAGTGGGTGGAAGGATAGGTGTGACCAGATCCCAGAGCACTTGTGCAGTACAGTTCTCAGAACCCTGCCTGTGGACTTCTCTAGAGAACTCAGAGGGTTTTG